AGGGCATGGCAACCCACTCTAGTATTCTTGCCAGGAAAATACTATGGACAGAGGAGACTGGAGGGCTATAGTCCATGGGGTTGCAAAGAGTCGGATACGACTGAAGGGACTGAGTACATATATTGTATGTGTGTAGTGAAATTACAGAACGAGTTTATGTGCTCATAGTGCTGCAAAGGTTCCCTAACAGAGTAGACTGCTTGGACTCAGGACACCCATCTCTCCACTTACAATGCAGGGAGCTGAACAATGCAGATTCCTCATCCCTCACTTTTGCTGAGATCAGAAATTTTATCTTCCTGAGGAAGAGAAAGGTACTATGGAGCCACACCCACTCAAATCCTTGCTCGCAAGTATACTGATCACCTTTGTAGGCTATAGTCCATAGGGTCGAAAAGAGTCGGACACAACTGAAGCTACTTAGCACGTGTGTGTGTATATACATGTATCTAATTGTTTACAGGTAACATTTTGAGAATGAGTGTGGTTTTCCTTTCCTTCTCATAATCTCCAGGTTTATGGTTTTCAAGTGAAATACAACATGTATATGGTACAGTGCACAGATCATAAACTCACAGTTCAGTGTACTTTCAAAACCTCAGTACATTCAGATAACCAGCATCCTGATTAAGAAACAGAGTAGTACCAGTCTCTCTTGTTTCCTCTTCTTAAGCTCACTTTCGAAGGTAGCCTTCAGTATTCAGAATCCAAGACGAATGTCTATCAGGAGCCACAGGGAGACAATATTCATTTTCTGACTCAAAGACCAGAAAGAAAGAGATAGGGTATGAGGCTCAAGAGAGTCATTTTAAAAAATTATCTTTATTTAGGTTTCTGATTCAGCACATGTATCAAAGGCTAATCAACATAAAGAAGTAAATAAGACATTAATTGGAAGTCTTACATCTCTCTAAATTCTGACCAAGAAATGTCAAGATTGCCACTATTAGCAGAACTCCAACCTAGTCAAGTTGTAGACAAGCTATTATGAACAACATACAGTGTGCACAGAGACTCAGAGGCCAAAGACATGCTAGCACTTGGCTCTCTTCTCTTCCTCGTTGATGTCTTTCCTTGGGACAGTCCACTTTTGCTTTCCATGCCTAGTTCCAAATAAAGTCCAAAGAAGGCTCAGGGTCAACCTGATCCAACACTCTGCTGGAAGAATGCATTCTCAAACTGTTGTGCCTGCAACTTTGTTTTTGCCAGGATGAAGTTCAGACCGAGATGTACAATACAATCTAGATGACAGTGCAGACTAGGTCAAGAACTAAAGTTGAGCAGTAACCCGAATTAAGGCATGAATGCACACACACACACACTTGCACACACACATCATCCACACTATCATGAACAGAAGGTTCCTTCCATTGCCTAGCAAGAGGCAACCAGGGCTTGGCAGTTAACCGCAACTGCTGAGCACTCTGGAACATGCTCCCTATAATTTTATACTAACAGCTGTGTGTGTTTTATCCAAAAAAGAAAAAAGAAAGAGAGAAGAAAGAAAAAGGAAAGAAACTAAAAAAAAAACAAAAACCAAAAAAAAAACCTAACAACAACGAAAATGCAAAACCAAAACAAAACCCCAAAACCTAAAACCCCTTAATCTCTTACAATGGCTCTTGAGCATGGAACTCACATAGCAGCGTCAATGGCTGGCTCTTTTGTAATTTGGAAATAAAAGGTTGTTTTACTATGCATTTCTTTGGTAGTCATCACTACAAAGTTATCAGTGTTGGTTACCTATAATACAAGTACTAGATAGAAGAATCAAGTTATGCAGAAATTATTTTTTCTGTATTGATAAGATAAAAATAGTGAGCTCTCCAAGCACAAATTACTATGCTTTTTCTTGCCTTATTGTAAGTGCATCCTCTACAAGCAAGGCTTCGTGCAGGAAAAGTTCATGTCTACCTAACAAAGGGCGATAACATATTCTATCTTTCTACAATTGAACAGTTAACAAAAATTCACATTATCCATTATTTCTGGTCAAATCAGTGAGAAGCCAATTACAAACGGGCAGCAGCAGCACTTGGTGTCAAAGCCACATTCTGGTCACACATTCATTCCATGGTTGTGGTCAGGCTCTCAGGAGCTCAAAATTTCAAACTCCTTTCAATGAACAAAGGAGTGAGTTAAATCAAATCTTAAATACTTCCACCATCTGCCACATCACTATAAGTCTGTCTAGAATGCCAGCATGCTGGATGACAGAGAGCAGTTCAGAGCCCAGAGAGGCATCAGGTGTTAGGGAAAGTAATTTGGTTTTGTATAAAAGGCATGGTCATCTGGCGACAAGTACTTATTCTATTAGCAGCACAGTGATAGCCAAGGGTCTCTGTCAGTGAGACAGGAAAACGAAGCTATTGAACCTGCTGTGGCTCCCACCTGCCTTCCAAGGCTTCTGGGAGTCAGTCCAGGGTTGTGGGTGGGCAACAGGAATAGCAGAAACTGCATTCAGCCCCCAAAAGACATGCCCCAGGTATGTCAGCTTCCTGTGGGCAAGGAGGCTTTTGCCTCTGATTGGGCTTGAGGTGGAAATCTTTGGGGTCCTTGGGGGTTAAACAACTGCCAAGGAGCTGCCCTAGCAGGTACTGCCCAAGTGTGACAGGCTCCCCACAGGGTTATAAAACACTCAAACAGGACCCGAAACGGCATCAGTTCAAAAGAGTAGTGTTTGTTCTATCAATCCAGAATATCCACTGGGAGAGGCAACAGATTCATAGTGAAAAAGTGCTGTTTGAAGGAGCTGTGTATTATTTTGCAATGAAATGACTAGTCTAGGGAAACTGGCATCACCTTCCTATAGAAATCTGAAAGTTAAGAACCTGTCTCTAGAAGGCATTTATCAGAACTGTTTGCTCCTCCAAGTGCTTTTTCAGTCACCATAGGACAATGCTTTAACTTTTGTGCTTTCAGGAGATCACTAAATTGCTAGCAAGCAGAGGGAAGATCATAACATTTTAGACTCTCTCTATTGTTTGAGTGCAAGACCCTCTATCCAACAGCACTGAAACCTACAGCCTTGTAGAAAATTCTTGTAAACATAGTCCATATTTCTCCTATAAGAAAAACTGAGAACTGTACCATGCAGGCAACACCTGTTTGCCTGCTCTCAGAATTCCTCAAAATGGCCAGGTGTCAGGAGGGACAGTGAGCCATTGGTGAAATCCCCAGGTTAGACAGGACCCCGTCGGATTGAATTAAAAACCTCAAGCCTCAATAATCAAATGCCAAACTTCTTCCCCATATTTGAGAACTGTACTATGATTATGTATATTACACATTATAAATAAAATTTATATAGACTTGTGATTTCTTTCAAACAATTGAGGAGCAATGCTCTCAGTTTGGGGGTGGAAACTGAAAGAGCTGAAAAAAAAAATCCTATTGTTGCTTTTACTCTCAAGTTCTTAAGATGCTAGTCAAACACTATTAGCCAACAAGACTTTTTCTCATTCTGTAACTCTTAAATATGCATTTGAAGGCAAAAAAATGGACGTTTCTCTACTGTACAATATTAAGTATCTACAATGTTATGGTTCCTTATACTTAGGAGTGTGTTCAGTAAAGAGCTAGCTATGAGAGGTGGTAGTCACAAAACAGGGACTCTTAAGAATTACGGATAAATTAATTTTCAGTTCTCTGATTATATCCAACAGATACACATTCTCATCATAAAATATACATTCTCTAGTAAGTTATTTCCATCCACAGCATATAGAAATATGCAAACACAGGTGGTAAAAATCACTTTACTACCAAAGTACAAAACAGTAACTGCTGAAAAGTCAAAATAAAGGTGTTCCAAGTGTTAAGAAAAGAGTGACTCACAGTGTTCCACTTTAAGTGAAACCAAACAATTTATTTGGGCTGAATGAATGAAAATAGCGCATTCAGGATATACTTCTTTGAACACTGCGCTTGTTTTTACTGGGTAAAATAAGCAGTCCTCAAGGCGAATGCGTTACTTGCCTCTACAGCTCTTTCCTGCTAAGAGAGAAAGTATTTTGTGGCCATTATGCCAAGGTATTCCTATAATGTTCATTTCAAATAGTATCTTCTAATAGTATTTTTGCACCTTTAAAATATCTGTTTGAACTCTATTTTAGGGGAACACAAGTAAAGAATGGAAAGGCAAAATAGCTGTTTTTGTTACAATCACACTGCCTTTGGCAGCAGAAATCACACAGCAGGTTCTTATCAGCCATCACAACCACTGGTGGGTAGTTAGCAACTCACAGGAGAGGGGGCCAGTGTGGGTAGGTTAACATCATGGATAAAGACAGAATCACACCTAGATACACAATAATTATCCATCCCATGTATATGGAAAAGATACAGCCATGTGAGCCAATACTTTAGGTGACCTTCTTTACAAGAGATGTGGGTGTTGAGATATACTGAACATACCCCATACAAAGTGTATCTGCTAGAAGGCTATATTAAACATGATCTTGGGCACTGATCCAGCTAACTTTCTGTTCTATACTGAGAGCTAGATTTTCAAAGGTCTGAACTGTAGTGCTGAATTATTGGTATGCTTGGTAAACACCATTAGAGTGGGGGGTGGGGAAGAATAATAACAGCTCAGTAATTTTCTGAAAATTCATGGAAAAAAATATAAAAAAGAGATCCCTTTTTATTTTACAAACCTAAAAGCCAGGAAAATAAAGCTCTGGGGGCCAAGCGAAAAATTGCACACTGCTGCTTAACTACCAAAGAGTCGAAAAGCCGAGGTCCCAGCCAGGGAATGGACGCACATGTAGATTCAAGTAGAACACCGATGGAAAAAAGTCGTCTGTTTAGTGTTGTAGACCCACAACACTGGCTGCGTTTCCGACACACATTTACAACACAATGAATAGTGAAGCCTAGATAACCTCAGTGCAAATAAGTCAGATCCGAATATGCCAGGGAAGGAAGCCTTTGGCGGCGAGTCGACGGCTCCACTGTGTGAACGAGTCCCCACGTGGGGTCTGGACTAAGCACATGCGCTAAGGCTGGGAGGAGGGGTGCACCGAGTGTTGCGAGGCGGCTGCCGAGGGGACCGCGGGCTGCACGGGCGGCGGCGGAGGCGGCGGCGGCGGCTGGACGGGGGTCTGTGTGTTGGGAGACGGAGGCGGCGTGGGCCGCTTGAATTTGTCAGGACTGTTGCTTCTCCGCGGTGAAGGCCTCTGTAGAGAGGGCAGGAACAGCAGGTCAGACCAGGCATACAGGCTCACCCCCAACCCAGCCTGACTTGGGGCGAAGGATGTCCAGAAGCGGACCCATGGAGACAAAACACTGGCCATGTCCTTGTCCATCCCCAGTAGTTTTCAAACTCATCATGAAAACGTCAACAAGGTAGAGTGTGCATTGACACCTATGAAAAGGCTACACAAAATCACTACGAAATGTGCATTGACCAAACGACTGCACTTGGGTCCTTCAATGAGGCTGTCCGAAAATGAAAAAACAGCTGTCACATCCTTCCCTTAAATTCTTTCTCTCTGTTGTGTGTCTCCAGTTCCTTCCATCCCTCAAACAAGTTTTCGATATCCTGAAAGCTATGGCTCAACCAAAAATGTTCCTGCTTTTATGTAAAGCTCATCAAACCAGCAAAACAGCTTCAAAAATATCTTACACACTTTTTTTTTGTAGAATAGGGTTCTTCTTTTCAAGATTCCCTCACTGGGAACATCCTCCATTCTACCCTGTTATCAAACCTTTATTAGTGACATTTCCAACAAGCCTGTTATTCAACTACATAACCAGCTCTAAAGAAAACACTTGACTGAGTAGGGCCCGAACCAGAAACACATAAGGTTACTTCTAATTTCAGGAAAGAAAATTCTGGATGAAACTAGAAATGAATCTAATTTCAGGAAGAATATTGAGGATCAGCAAACTGTGAAGATGCAGACAATAAATACTTTTAGTTGTGATGGCAACCAACAAAAATTCACTATGGCAAGGAGCTGGCTAGAGTTCAATCACGGCATTGGCCAGAGTGCAAACTACATTTCATGAAGGACAATTTTTCAAAGAAAGTGAAGGTCAAGATTTTGCCTCCTGAGAAGGATTTTAGTTTCAACACCACAATGCGGTATTGAATTATTGGGAGATATCTAGAAGTTTAAGATGAACTGAAGGAATAAGAAAGGTAAAGTTCCAAGGGCATCAATACCAGCTCCCATGTCGCTATATCAGTCGCTGCCACCATCAGACATAAAGTGCTGCTTCCTGCATGGATACTTACTGTGATACCATGGGATGCTCCCACATGCTGCACATGAAGACCTGGGGAATTGTAATAAGACATTCCGGCTCGTGTCAGTGAAGTTGGTGGCGTGAAACCAACTGTGTGACTTGCATATGAGAGACCTGAAATATAACAACAACTTGTGAGTATTACTCTGGACTCAACTCTCTGGTATCTTAAGCATCTAAGAGGCTTAAAAATAGGGAAGTTCCTGGTGGTCTAGTGGTCAAGACTCCATGCTGCTAATGCAGGGGGCACAGGTTCAATCCCTGGTTAGGGAACTAAGATCCCACATGCCTTGAGGCCAAAAAAAAAAATATAGAAGCTTCTTATTCATCCACAAAAATGCAAATGAATGAGAGGAGTGATGGGCTCACCAAATGGCCTGATGGATGGATAACAAAGGATATAAAAGTGAAGCCCTATAACAGACAAGACAGTCCAGATATAAGTCCATGCATAAATGGTCAGAGGATTTCAACGAAGGTGCCAGGAATATGCAACGGTAAAAGGGTGGTCTCTTCAACAAAGGGTGCTGGGAAATTGGACATTCACGTGCAAAAAGAATGAAACTGGAGCCCTAACTTACACCACACACAGAAATCAACTCAAAATGAATGAAAGATTCACACATACAACCCCAACCATAAAACTCCTATAAGGGAACACAGGGGAAAGCTCTATGGCATTGGTCTTGGCAATGATTTCTTAGATGTGACACCAGAGACACAGCCACAAAAGCACAAATAGCCAAATGGGACTAAAAAGCTAAAAAGCTTCTGCTCAGCAAAAGAAATAATCGACACAAAGGTAACCTATGGAATGGGAGAAAGTATTTATAAATCATGTATCAGATAAGGGAAGAATATCCAAAATATGTAAGGAACTCATCCAATGCAAAAGCAAATAAACAAATAACCTGATAAAAAATGGGCAGAGAATCTCAGCAGAAACTTTTCCAAAGAAGGCAAACAGATGGCCAATAGACACATGAGAAGATGCTCAACATCATTAATCATCAGTGAAAAGCAAATCAAAACCACAACAGGATATGATCTTACATCTGTTAGGATAGCTATTATAAAAAATAAAAATAAACATTTCTAAAGGTTGACAAGGATGTGGAGAAAAGGGAACCCCATGCACTGCTGATGGGAATGTAAATTGGTGCAAACGCTATGGAAAGCATTATGGAGCTTCCTCAAAAATTAGAAATAGAACTACCATAAATGATCTAGCAATCCCACTTCAGGGTATTTATCCAAAAGAATTGAAAACAGGATCTTGAAAAGAAATTTGCACCCACAGGTTCATTGCAACACTATTCACAGTAGCCAAGACATAGAAACAACCTAAAAGTTCATCAACAGATGAGTGGATAAAGAAAACATGGCATAAACACACAATGGAATATTATTCAGCCTTCAAAAAGAAGAAAACGTGCTTTTTTTTTTTCTTTTAAAAGAACATGGATGAACCTGGAGGACATTATGTTAACTGATATAAGCCGGTCACAGAAGGATGGATACTGCATGACAACATATACATAAAGGATCTAGGTCAAACTCACAGAAGCAGAGAGCAGGATGGTGGTTGACAGTGGGTGGGGATAGAGGAAATGGGGAAATTATTATTTGATGGGTAAAACGTTTCAATTTTATAAGAAGAATAAGTTACAGAGATATGCTGCACAACATTGTACCTATTTAACAATACTGTACAGAACAGTTAAAAAGGTGTTAAGAGGGTAGATCTCATGTTAAGTGTTCTTATCTCCACTAAAAAAAAAAAAGTCAAGGCTTGAGAGGAGTACAACTGAGACAATACAAAAGTAGAAGACAGGAGACGAAATAAGAGTAAAGTGGAAAAAATAGAATGAAGGGGTAAAGACCAGATGCAAGAAAAGGGAAAGTGTCAAAAGATACACCAGTAATAACAAGACAAAACCGCCGTGTTTGTTGTAGCCACAAAGGCAAACAAAAAGCCATCACTGAAAACTTGGCAACTTCAGGATATTAAATGAAGCAAACAAAAAGCCCTATATATCCCAATGTTCCTCCCCAAAGAAACAGATATTTAACCACTTCCTGAATTGATGTTTTCAAACTGTGGTGCTGGAGAAGGCTCTTAAGAATCCCTGGGACAGCAAGGAGATCAAACTAGTCAATCCTAAAGGAAATCAATCCTGAATATTCATTGGAAGGACAGATGCTGAAGCTCCAATACTTTGGTCACCTGCTGTAAAGAGCAGACTCATTGGAAAAAACCCTGATGCTGGAAAAGATTGAAGACAGGAGAAGGGGATGTCAGAGGACAAGATGGTTGGAGGGTATCACCGACTCAATGGACATGAGTCTGAGCAAACTCCGGGACATAGTGAAGGATAGGGAAGCCTGGGCTGCAGTCCACAGGGTCACAAAGAGTTGGGCACAACTTAGCAACTGAACAACAACCTCTCCTTCTAGGCTCATCTCAAAAGCTCTCTAAGCTGGTAGCTCTCTCTCCTTTGAAATTAGTTTAAGATTATACCTTCTAATTTTATCATAAATTCTTAGTTTGAAATAGTTTATGATTCATAAGAAGTTGCAAATATACTACAGGATCTCTGTCTACACTTCACCCAGCTTCCCTCAATGATATCTTACATAACCACAGCACATTGTCAAAAAGAGAAAATTGACATTGGCCCAAAACAAGTGACTAAGATACAAACTTACTCTGTGTGTGTGTGTGTGTGTGTGTACACGTACAGGTGTAATTTTATCACTTGTGCTGATCCAAGTAATTATCACCACAATCAGCATACAGAATCATTGCAAAACCACAAGCAAACTTCTTTGTGTTGTCCCTTTAACTGTTATGCCCTCTCTCTAATCCTAACCCCTGGCAAGGACTGATCTGTTTTCCATCACTGTAATTTTCTCACTTTGAGCATGCTATATTAATAGATACGAAATTATACAGTATACAATCCTTTGAGATTAGTTTTTCATTCATCACAATGCCCCTATGATCCTTCCAAGTTATTGTGTATATCAAGTTAATTTCTTTTTAGTGCTGGGTAATATGTCATTGAGTATGGATGCACCACAGCTTAACATTTTAGGGGATATAAAATACATAAAACTCATTATATTTGGCCTTGCATTAATAGTATCTTATTTCTCATGTTTCCTTAGGCCCTGTTGTTGTTCATAAGCATTAGAGGCCAGAGACCAAGTCTTACAAATTTTATTTTTCTCCTAAGTTATAATCATCATACATCTGACCCTCAGGCCCAGAAATAAAATAAAGGATAAAAATCCCCCAAAAATCCTAAATAGAAAATACCTCCTAAACAGAATACTGTGGCTTTATGAAGTTACTGTTGGAATAAACTGCTCTTGCTCTACTACAGAAATGCATTGCCTAGAGTAAAAATTTTAAGGTTTATTTCATTGTCCACTAGCTCAAGATTGTGAATTTTAAAAAAATGATTCATTAAAAGCAATTCATGACAAAATACCACTAAGCAAAATCGACACTTGAAAACACTAAAATATTAACACTGACTTTGGATATAAGGATTCTGGATGGTTTTATGAATATTTCTGCTTCTTCCAACTGCCCCCAAATTCCCTCTAACACACCTCTGCTAAAGGAAAAAAAAAAAAAAACACCAAAACCAGCCACCACAGAACCAAACAAAAGGCAGAAGTTTGAAGATTCTGTTCCTTTGGAGATTATTTTAGTTCTACAAGTCATTCATGAAAACATTGTCTCTGTGAACATTCACGCACTAGAGATATGATTTCTTCTTTAGCTCTCCCTGATCTGGCTCTGTCCTCGTCACTCCATCAAGGCTGCTCTTGCCAAGTAGGCAGCGTTTCTGTGCTGCCAGCTGCATTGCTCCTCTCTGCTCTTTATTGCAACTGACCCTGGGGCAATGAGGGACAGAGCTGACCCCTCCCTTCTTGCTGAAAGGCTTTGTCTTCACCTCAGTGATATCAGATACTGGTTTTCCTTCTTCTTTTCTGGGAGCAACTTCCCAATCTCCTTCACCAAGTTTCCTTCTGTACATGACCTCTAAATATTACAGTCACTTCTAGATCAGAAGGGAGGCCTTTTCTCTTCTCCCTCTACCTTCCATGAGTAGGTGATCTCATCTATTTAGTAGCTTTAAAATAGAGTTCTTATTTTAGAATACTTTTTGGTTTACAGAAAAGTGGCAAAAATAAGTATAGAGAGTTCCTGCACTTCACACACTCAGATTCCATATTATCATTATTTGATCACACCACATGATTTGTAGGATCTTAGCACCCCACTCCAGTACTCTTGCCTGGAAAATCCCATGGACAGAGGAGCCTGGTAGGTTGTAGTCCATGGGGTCACTAAGAGTCGGACACGACTGAGCTTTTCACTTTCACTTTTCACTTTCATGCATTGGAGAAGGAAATGGCAACCCACTCCAGTTTTCTTGCCTGGAAAATCCCAGGGATGGGGGAGCCTGGTGGGCTGCCGTCTATGGGGTCACACAGATTCAGACACGACTGAAGCGACTTAGCAACAGCAGTAGTCCTCAACCAGGGACTGAACCCATGACCTTGGAATTGAAAGCGTGCAGTCCTAACCACTGGATTGCTGGGGAATTCCAACAGATTCCCTATTATTAACTTTTTATGCCACTGTGGTACTTTTGTCACAACTAATAAACCATCGTTGATACATTACTACTAACTCAGGTTCATACATCATCTGGATTTCCTGAGGTTTTCCCTATTGTCCTCTTCCTGTTTCAGGAATCCATTTAGGATACCATGTTCTATGCATAGTTGTCATGTCTCATTAGGCACCTCTTGGCTGAGACAGTCCCTCAAATTTCCTTGTTTGTTATGACCTCATCAGTATTAAGGTGTACTGATCAGGTATTTTACAGACAGAGTGTCCCTCTACTGTCTGACATTTTCCATGTGGGGTAATGGGCTTTGGGGAGGAAGACCACAGAGGTAAAGGGCTCTTCTCATCATATCATATCAAGGGTGTGTGTGTGCTAAGTCGCTTCAGTTGTGTCTGATTCTCTGCGATCCTATGGATTGTAGCCCACCAGACTCCTTTGTCCATGGGATTCTCCAGGCAAGAATACTGGAGTGGGTTGCCATGCCCTCCTCCAGGGGATCTTCCTGATCCAAGGATTGAACCTGCATCTCTTATGTCTCCTGCATTGGCAGCTGGGTTCTTTACCACTAGTGCCACCTGGGAAGCCCTCATATCAAGGGTACATACTACAAACATGACTGACCACTGTCGATGTTGACCTTGATCTCCTGGCTGAGGCAGTACCTGTGAAGTTTCTCCACTATAAAGGTACTCTTTCCCCTTCCTTCTCACACTGTATTCTCTGCAAATCCTCATCTGTAATCCACATTTAGAGATCAGGGAGCTAGTTCCACTTCCATGAGGATAGAGTATCTACATCAATTATTTGGAATTCCTCTGTAATGAGAGATTTATCTCTTCTCCCTGTTTATTTACTTAGTTATTTATTTAGATCAGTGTGAACTGATAAATATTTGTTTTCTGTTTGGGTTACAATCTGCTATTACACTACTTATCCTTCAAATGTTCCAGCTTGGCCTTTGGGAACCCTTTCAGCTAGCTCCTGTGTCTCTTGGAACTATCCTCATCTTTGTGTTTTTTGCGCTTCTCCTTACTTTGTTGGCATTACCGGAATGTCCACATTCATCTCATATATTCCCTGCCCCAGGCTCCAGAAACATACATTTCTCCAAAGAGCCTCAGTTCTTTTAACTGGAGAACGGAATTAGAAACCAAGATAGGGAGAGCAGTTATGCTTGTTGCTAGTGCGGTATAGATCCTTTTAAAAACTTCATTATTTCTCATGCCTGATGTAGGCACATGAAAACGTGCTAATTGGGAATGGCTTTTTCTTAGGCTATATAAAATAGTGAACAATTTCAAAAAATTTGCTGGAAAAAATAATACTCTATATAATCCACATGTATAAGTCCACATATAAGCAAGAATTTTTGTAAGTTCTGGGAAACGTTCCTTTCAATCAAGTTGTGAGATAGCCGTCAAAATATTCCAACAAGTTAGTGAAAATACAAGACTGCCAATGTTAACCAGAAATGGTAAGGGAAGAAGAGCCAAGATACTTAAAATGGAAATGAAAACTATACAAACAGCAGAGTTCCACTAAAGAAGTGATTAGATATTCATAATATTGAGAACCACAAATTCTTTCAATAAAAAATAAAGTGAAAAGAAAACTCGAAAATTCAGATATTGCTCATGTATTATGCATGCAATGGACTAGAGAGAATAGGAGTAATTCCACTGCCAAAAGGAGTTTATAATCTACTTTGATGATATTCTAGAATTTCAAAGATGGTACAAATGTTCTCACTAAAGCTGGCTGAAATTTAAAAAGAAAAAATCTCTAGTTGTTACTTACTATGATGTAGTATTAATGGATAACCAACTAGCTTGTCTATACAAGGAAGCCCCACATTATAGCAACAGGGGCAGCAAAAGCCAAAATTCTGTGCGTGCAATAAATCTTCTTGCAGAGTATTTGTTACCATAGAAGTTAATATTCCAAACCAAGGTCTCACTTTTGTTTTTGATTTCTTCAGTGACCACAAAACTACATTTAATGAATTAAAAATCACATGCATTTAGGTTTAAATCAATCAAAGAGAACATTAAATTATACTTAACATGAATCAGCATCACTATGAGATATAAAAGCCTTTCTCTTTCTTGCTTCTTCCTAACTCACGACTTTCTTCCCCATCAATAAATCAGAAAGCAAAGAAAACCTTTATCCTCCTGGTAGTGAAACCCAAATGCTCTTTGGGGAAACCTGAGAGGCAGCTCAGGAGAGAAGCTTCTGGAAAGATCTCAAGGCCACTGCAGAGCAGGAGAAACAGACTCAGGAACATCCTTTGGGGCAAGGACAAGTGATGATTGTGCTGAAGATCCACAACAGAAAGTCCTTTTGATTTGCAAACAGCCCCTCTTCAGCCTGTCAGATGCCGGAGAGAGCGTGCCAGCCCCAAGTGGACAAAAGCTGCCACACTTTGTGTTGGGCTTTTAAAAAATGACCCTTCTAGAGATGTCCCTGGTGGGCCAATGGTTAAGACTCTGCAGTTCCACTGCAGGCGACATGAGTTCGATCCCTAGTCAGGGAACTAAGATTCTGCATGCCACGTGGCTTGGGCAAAAACAGACAGACAAAAACCAAAAAGTGTGACCCGTCTTACAAAAAGTCATAGGAGCATAGTGCTGGGCTGGATCCTAAACTCACAGAACCAAGCCGTTTCTGCCCCCTGCTATCCTCAGCCACCGGCATGGCTGCGGCACTTCTCCTCTGTCAACCTGAAGGGCATCCATCCTTGGTGTCCCGTTATTCCAACAGACAGAATGAGATGACACCCTAACGTGAAGCCATTTCACTGTCCCAGACCACAAAACCTTTATTGCTGCCACCCTTTTAAGCTATCACCTTACTTTGTTCTGCTGTGAAGCTGCCCCTCCAGCCCCCTCCCACCCCCCCACAACCTTTTCCCCCAGCTCTGTTGAAAACCTGTTTACCAGCGAGCACAGAAGAGTAGCCTGGCCACTTCAGTCATAAGACACCAGCCCTGGGCCGGCGGCCTTCTCTTCCCTCCCTCCACTCACTGTGCTCCCTCCCGCCTTCCTCTTTCTTCCCTCCACTCACTGCGCTCCCTCTGCCTTCCGCTTTCTTCCCTGCTGGATCATTAATTTGCCCTCCTGCCCCTGTCCCATGCTGTGCGGGTGTGGAGCCAGGGACCCCAGGGAGAGTGTTTTTTGGGGTCAGATGAAGACAAATCTGCCTTTGAGGGGAAGGCTTCTGAGGAGCAAAGCCAGAGACGGAAGCAAAGCCAGTTCCTTCTTGCCCGGTCTGTGTCCCAGGGCCGAGGCCCACTCACCACCACTGCAAAGAGCAGGAGGCAGCCTGTGCTCGGAAGGACACGGGCCCTGGAAATAAGACATGCCCTGCCTCGCCACTTCCTGGCCATCTGACCAGTAGCTACGGAACCTCCGCATCACGTCTCCCTCAATTTTAATATGACACCTGCATTAATTATTTTGAGGATAAAAAAGGAGATGGTGAATATAGAACATAACGAGAGAACCCATAATAAACTGATGCATCTCAGAAAAATCTATCCAAGATTCTTGTCAATTCATTGGCACCTAAAATCATAGTCAAAGGTGGTCTTTTCACAAAGGTTTTTTAGAGTTAAATTACATTTTTTAGTTCCAGAAAAACTGAAGAAAACCAGCAGCTGGCATTACAATATTTGTGCTTAAAAATCTGAAGCAAAGACTCTGTTGTGATGGTATTGATAATTTTTTTTAATGTTTCTGGACAACACTTGACCCCTCTGTTTACAAGACTTTTTATATGCTGGGAGGGAACGTATTCAGGGGTACCTAATAAATACAGCAGAAATGAGTCACAGAGGCAGCTGAGAACACATACTCACCGGGTGATATTGGCCGGCTTGAACTGGGAGAAGGTGTGTAAGGGATCGGGCTGGACACAGTGCGAGGTCTTAATCCTTGTGCAGACATCTCGTTAAAATACCTAAGAGGCAGGATGACATGGTTAGCACTGTCTGCATCCCAGCAGTTCCTCAGAAAGCTCCCCTGAGAAAATGTCAGACGTTCGCATCATGAGGTAGAACTCCTGAATGTTCAGAAAGTGTCGCTGTAGCGATGCACGTGTATAATACAGTCGCCAGAGCCACGCTGCTGCACTGCCTGGCACAGCTCTCTATGCAGGGGCATGGGTGAGGGAACGCAGGGTGTCTTTACTCAGGACGGAGGCCTGATGACACCAGCATCACAGAGAGGACCAGGCTTTTCTCCATCACAGAACAGCTACGTAGGAGTTCACTCCCCCTGTCCCAAGAATGAGACACAACCACGTTGTAACTGTGTGCCGTGTGCGCGTACGTTAGCTGCTCGGTCACGGCGGACCCTTTGCGACTCCATGGACTTACAACACTCCATGCTGTGAGCGTGTGTTGTGTGTGTGTGTGTGTGGTTAGTCGCTCAGTCGTGTCGGACTCTTTGCGACTCCCGCCAGGCTCCTCTGTCCATGGGATTCTCCAGGCAAGAGCACTAGAGTGAGCTGCCATTTCCCTCTCCAGGGGGACCTTCCCGATCCAGGGATCACATCCAGGTCTCCCACATTGTAGGCAGATTCTTTAAGGTCTGAGCTACCAAGGGGACTCAGTGGCTACATGTAAATGCTATAATGGCTACACGTAAATTGTTACTTGAAAGACCAAGCCAAACGAGCCCTCTGAGATGTATGCCATCAAATTAAAGGTATGTGGTCCCCTGAAGTGGATGTCAGTTGTTTACAAGGCAGGCCTTGCTTAACAGTCACGTGTTTGAATGCGGGATGTAGTAAAAAAACACTCGGGTGAGTACCTCAGCAGGTCACGCAGTGCACGTCAGACTTCTTCCTCGATTCAGAAATCACATTAGACCTCACTTGGTGAATAAGCACAGAGAGCTGACGAGGGCGAATCTCTGCTTGAGGAACTCTCTGATAAGTGATCTTTCCCAGGCTTTCCAGCCAAAGGAAGGAACACGTGCAGACATGTCTACCCTAGAGGCGATCTTAGCCCTGACGTTTACTCAGTTCGCACAAGGAACTCGAACACAGTTGCTTCCATGCAGGTTTAGGCAACTCGAAGAAAACAAGGCTGCCAAGTCTGGCGTGCACCTGTCAGTGAGCTACCACCACCAGTTCTCCCTGCTCTCTTAGCGTAGCCCACCATGGTGCCGCTAGACCAGACACCTAGTGATTCTGCGGCCAGCAAGGCTACTAAGGCCACTTCTTGGTCTTTAAGGAATTAAACATATGTAAGTCTCAAGTGTCTATTTTCTTTCTCCCAAATGTGATACTATCCCCAGCAGGGACAGCAGACGTCTTTATTGGGCAGCTGTACTTGACTCCTGATAATCCAGCCTAAAAAAGGTAACAAGGACCTACTGCATAGCACAGGGAACTACATTCAATATTCTACATTAAGCTATATGGGAAAAGAATACGGAAAAGGATAGATAGATGAATATGTGTTAGCCGCTCAGTCATGTCTGACTCTCTGCAATCCCATGGACTGTAGCCCACCAGGCTCTGCTGTCCATGAAATTCTCCAGGTAAGAATATTGGAGCGAGTAGCCATTCCCTTCTCCAGGAAAATCTTCCTAATCCAGGGACTGAACCCAGGTCTCCTGCATTGCAGGCAGATTCTTTACCATCTGAGTCACCAGGGAAGCCCAGATATCTGGATTTGTATAACTAAATCACTTTGCTGTATACCTGAAACAAATACAACATTGTAAATCAACTATCCTCAACATTAAATAAAAAAAGAGTGGGAGAGTGGGGCTAGGAGTCAAATGTTGTTCCTGATGCTACCATGTACACTGGACAAGTCAAAAAAAAAGAAAGTAAGCAAGGCAAACCTTCTGCAATAAATACCAATTCTGGGGAAAAAACGATTTTTGTCCAGAAGACTGAAATAGACTTAGGGTTGTCACCGTGGTCAGAGAACTTGTCCTTCAGTGCATCATATTCAAAATTCAAAAAAGAGGGGATATATGTATACAAACAGCTGATTCATTTAGCCGTCCAGTAGAAACTAACAACAATATAAAGCAACTATACCCCAGTTAAAAAAAAACCACCAAGCACAGGGCCCTGTGTTGTGTATATTAACATACACTCTGCTTCATTTCTTCAGGTAATTGATAAAGTAGTAAGTTAACTAATATTCTAGCTGATGTTCTTGGTCAAAAAGGTTTTCAGAGGATAAGAATTTCAGGAAGAATGAGACACTGTCAGAAACAGATCAGTGAAATTCAGAGTTAAGGATGATCATTTTAGAATATAAACTTCTGAGCAAAAAAGACTCACTTTTATTCTTTTCAAACAAGGAAGATAGTTTTAAAAACAGATTTAAGTCTATTTTTATTAAAATGTTCTAAATGATAAAAGTAGATCTTCATTATAAAAAAATCATATTTTTTTACGAAATGATAATACTATCACTGCCCACAGGGAATTAATCAGAACGCCTGTTAGCCCTCTGGATCTGTTCAGTAAGAGAAGTGGAGTGCTGATCTGCTAGAACTGCCCACATGTGTTCAAACAACATGCTCTGGTGTCAACAGCAAGTGTGAGTCATCACAGCCATTGGCAGACCCTGGTCGGAGACTGGCTGCCCAGTCCTGTCAGATGGTGGTTGTCTTAACAATCACCCCTCTTCAAAGTACAGAACAGGAGGGCGGGTAGGGAAGGAAAGGAAAAATTTGTCTAGCTAACCAAAGGATGACTCTCTTATTCCAACCCATTTCTCAGTGGGACAATGAGGGGTCTTGATATTGAGGCCTGGGCAGATAAATGTATTTGTTTTGTTTTTGAAAAGTAGCTGCAAAAAGGCTGAAAAGTCACCAAGTGTGTTAAAGCAAAACCTCTGGCTTTCAAAAAACTTTCGCCTATCTCTGGCAGATTCTTTCACCCCCTGGACACATTTGCTTTCTCAGGCTGTACCATGCATGGCCTGGTCATCTTTTCTGTGAACTAAGATGTTCCCACCCATACTCTAAGGGCTTCCCCGGTGGCTCAGTAGTAGCAAAAGAAGGAGACACGGGTTCAATCCCTGGGTCAGGAAGGTTCCCAGGAGAAGGAAATGGCAACCCACTCCAGTATCCTTGCCTGGGAAATCCCATGAGCAGAGAATCCTGGCAGGCTACAGTCCATGGGGTCGCTAAAGAGTCAGACATGACTTAGCAACTAAAGAACAATCACCCATGCTCTAAAGAGACATGACATAGGATCAGATGACTTCAACAACACATGTCGATGCTGCCTCTCTACACATGACCTGCCCCACTTCTCTCCTATCAGTAATTTGGCAAAGGTCATTTTCTTCATCTTTCTGTGTTTAAGGAGGATGGTCAATCTTCTCCCTTTATCCCATTCTCGGCATCCACTTTGAGGTGACATCATTCATCACGACAATAAATAAACGTTCCAGCCATCTCCTACCACATCTCATAGGAGGTGCAGCGGGGCTGGAGGCTGGTTTTTGTTGCTGTTGTTCGCAAGAGGTGTGTGGGACACACACGCACCTTTCATCATCCATCTCTAAGCTGGACTCGCTCTCGGAGAGCTGTCGACAGAGGGCCTCTCTTCTCTCCATTTCCCTCTGCAGCTTCCTCTGCAGCCTCAGGTTCTCCTCTCTCATGTGACGTTCCTCCTCCAAATACTGCGCCATTTTCTCCGAATCTGAAAAGCCAGAGTTCTCGATTAAACCAAGGTCCGTGCAGTCATAGTCCGCTCTTAAAAAGACAGGGCTGGTCCAGCCTCTGTGCCACAGACCAGGAACAAGACAGCCGTTCTCACTCCCCACACACAGATGACACCTGGATTTCAAGTTTATCCCAAGGCTGACCAGTGATCTGCACTTAGAAAAAAAAAAACGTGAAAAGCAGTGAAGGGTTAGGCAGCATCAATCCCACTTCCTCAACTTCAAGACACGCTGGAGCTATGTCTGGCCGGAGTGGGTACCAGAGCTCTCACTACCTTGCTGGAGTGGAGAGGGGAAGGGGTCCAGATAGGGAAATAAATTCAGCCCATGGGCTCCCCTCAGAGCACCACTTCTGCTGCCTGTCAACACCAGACACAGTGGGGCAGGTCATCTATGCGAACACACCCAGAGACCACACTTGTTAGCACACCCCCAGTGCAAGCGGTGGTGGTGGGGGTGGTGGGGAGGGGCTTGCACATGGAGAACCAGTGTACTCAATGAGCTAGGTGACAGTTATAAATCTTTTTATAAAACCAGAAACTGACGTAGTAAGCACTATGTGATCAACATTTCCAACATTAGATCAACATTTCCAATCGGTCTAATTTTTGGTGTATGTGTTACTGTCTCCTAACTGATGCACAGTGTTTTGGAGACAGACAGCAAACCAAGACCTATGTGCAGCCAGGTACTTGGGATGGCTCTTGCTTATGACAAGTACCCCTTCCTCGGGAGCTGCTCCGTATGTGGGGCAGTCAGAACTAATCGGCTGCAGGTCTAGACACTATAGACTCAGGGTGAACCAGCCAGATTATTTCTTGGAGGAATCTGAAATGTGGAACCAACATCTTCCTGGGGCTTTGGAATCCCCTTCTGCTGAGCTGTCTGCCCTCCGGAGTACCGCTGCAGGATTCTGTGACATCCCTGCAACCAAAGGTAAAACATGACCCTCTTCCCTTTCCTGGTTTACCCTAGACAGACCTCCCCCCTTTCCTGGTTTACCCCAGACAGAATATGTTGTTACTAAGTAACAAAAATAACCTTCATACAAACCTCAGTGTCTACCCATTTTCTTGGCTCCTTCAATTTTCCCCTATCTCGGGCAAGGAACTTGGGAAAAGTACAATCTCCATCTACTTCTCTTTTCCGAAAAGTACTTACAAGTTTAGAGCGGCCATGACCACATCTAAGAGATAGCCCGACAGGATACTACCCCATATTATTAGTCTGGTCCAAATTTAAGAAGGAAGGAAGGTGGTAACTTCTACACCGACAATTTCTCTCCCATAAACTGACCCTATTTCGACTCCTAAGTCTACCAAATGAAGTTCCAGTTTTATATAACTCAATGGAGGTCTGGCATTTTTAGCAAATAATGACTTTTGATAAGTACTCAATGATTTCCAAGAGACCATCATGACAGAATGCATCCAAGTTTTTGAAAATCCTTATTTTAGAAATTCAAATGAAAACACCCAAATTATTACACACTATTATGCGTGCTAAACACTAAATCTCTCGGCTGTTTTCAATCTAACCAGAAACCCTGCTGTCTAATCCAGATGCAAAAATCTCCTTAATTGAAGGCATGCTGGGAAAATATTTACAAAGGACACTTTTAATATAAATGATTAAAGGTATTTCACCCCAAATATGCTCAGGGGCAGAATTTTTCACTTGCTCCAGAGGAAGTACTCTATCAGCCTCTTGGAATCTTTAGTGTTTCTAGAACGAGATGGGCAGCTGTCAGGGCAAGTTGCCTTTCTCTTCCATAAATAGAGAACTGAGGATTCGTGAGGCTTTGAGAATAATTATTTAAGAGGAAACCCTGTCTTTCAAAGAAAAACGGCAATCCTTTAGCATCTGGGGAAACCAGCAGCGGGATCCTTAAACAATAAGCTCTAGACAAGAACATCAGTCACCAGGAGCAATGGCTGAAAAGACTGCCTGGCAGCTTGGCAATTAACCCAGAAGCCAGAGGCCCAGAGAAGGCAGAGGCCCACAGCCCCCGGGTGTGACAGACCCAGGCACAGATGGCCGAGACGTGGCACTGCTCGGCTGCCCTCAACCGGCAGGTCACCACACCTGATCTCACAGCGCTGGATTTACTCTCGGGGCTCAGATGGTAAAGAATCTGCCTGCTATGCAGGAGACCTGGGTTCAGTCCCTGGGTCAGGAAGATCCCCTGGAGAAGGAAATGGCAACCCACTCCAGTATTCTTGCCTGGGAAATTCCATGGACAGAGGAGCCTGGCTGACTACAGTTCATGGGGCTGCAAAGAGTCGGACGTGACTCAGCAACTAACACTTCATTTACTCTCAGGAGTCATCCTCTTTCTCCCACACTGAGCTCCCTAAGGCTTTGAAGTCACAGCTTATGCTTCCGCCATCTTCAGCCACCTCACAAATTCAGTCAAAAATAGTGTCAACTGAAGGTGATTTCCAGTCTCCCAAAAGATGGTTCCTATATGATCCTAAGGTGGCTTGTACCTGGCTTTTTTTGAGGGGGGGGCTGGTGTGTGGGATCTTAATTCCTGGACGAGGGATTGAGCCCATGTCCCCAGCACTGGCAGCACCCTAAACACTGGACCACCAGGGAAGTCCCAAAGCCTGTACCTTCTGCATTCCCTTTCAAGTTTACGGTAAGAAAATACTTCTGCCCAGATCTCATCCAAACCAATGAAATTAAAATCCACGAGGATGAAACCTCCCCACTGGTCTACGAAAACTCCCCCAAGGCTTCTAACGTTCAACCAGAGTTAAGAGATATTTGGAGAGAGGTTCAAGCTCAGACTCAGCTTGACTTACGGGAAAAATAGCCCACGTGCCCTAGGAGCTTTCAAAGGGGACTAGATTATACAACCTGAGGAGGCAGATGCAGGTGGATGAGCAAAGTCTCATGAACTCATCCTCTAAACCCAACCTAAACCAACTGTGAGCAGCTAGGAGCCACACGCAGCCACTTCAGGTCAGCTTTCCCTGTCCTCACAAAATCCAAACAGCATTTACAGATGATATCCACTGTTGATATCCACAGTGTCTCCAGGGACCAAACATTGCAGTAGGAAGGAAGTAGAGGAAATAAGATACCCTTCCCAAATTTCTTCCAAAAACATTGTCTGGGGAACAACAAGGCAAGTATACACAGGAAAGAAAAATAGTACTGGAAAGATTTCAGAAAGGGGACAGACCTTTGTCTGTCCAACACAGCAAAAACTCAAAAAACACCCAACCCTAAAACAACTAATACTTGAGAACTCTTTGACTTGTTTTCACGGAATACACATCCATGGTGATTCTCAAACTGGGGTACATGATCAGAATGGCCTTTATTAAAAAAAAATACAGAGGACAAGGCTCCACCCCTAGAGTAAGCCCAGAAGCCTATATGGGGTTAGACAGGATGGTGGCCTTCTACAGATATCCACACCCTAATCTCTGAAGCCTGTGGCCATGTTGAGGTTAAGGACCCTGAAATGGGAACTCATCCTGGATTATCTGGGTGGGTCCGATGCAGCCCCAGGGTGCTTAAGGGGAAGGCAGGAGGGTCAGAGTGAAAAGATGTGACATGGGTGGCAGAGGCGGGAGTGGTACCCATGCAAAGGAGGAATCATGAGCCAAAGAATGCAGATGCCTTCAAAAGCTGAAGAAAGCAAGCAAGCAGTTTCTCCTTTTAAGCCTCTTATAAGGAAACGACCCCTGCTGACACCTTGATTTTAGCCCAGTGAACCTATTTTGAACCCAGACCTCCAAAAACTGCAACATAATAAATTGGTATTGTTTTAAATCAGTGAGTCTGTCTCTTTTTTTTTCTTCACCATCCTAAGTGTGGTTGAATTTGCTCCTTGCCACGTCTTTCTTCTCACAAGACTTTCTGGGTCAAGTGATTCCTGGCCAAGAAAAAAAAGCAGAATTGCCCCCCTCCCCAATGGATTTGAATGAAAACTGGTAATAAAACCAGGTACAATTCCAAGGGAAGACATACGAGAAGAAATCAGGTACAATTCCAAGAGAAGACATAGGAGAAGAACCAAGCCAGGTCTAGGGAGCCTCACATATGAATTGCACATATTTATACTGTGTCAAGGTCACTTTCATCCTACCATATCGCTTGCATCTTAACCACACAACTACTGTCTGAACAGCCCACATGTGTTCTATAGAAGAGATGGAATGGCTGGTTCTCCTGTTGTGTTTCTCAGCTAGTACTTTATCTTACTAATAAATATGTGAGATCTTTGGTTGGAAATAAAATAAAATAAATGCCTAAGTTTGTGCTCATTTGTTAACAGCAGGCAATAGGACACCTAACACACTGTATTTCTTAAAGGTTCCCAAGATGACCTTGATGTCTCATCCCAGACACAGTACTGAACTAGAGCTTGTAATACACTTCAGAGAAGAAAACATAAAGATAAGAATCACTGAAATTTTAAATGTGCATTTCATCTGACGCAGCAAATCCATGGCCTGGAGTTTACCCTGAAGGTATTTTTACACAGGTATCAAAATATGTGTACAGAGATGGTCTCTATGGTCGCGCATGGCAGCTCGAATGGGTCCTTTGATAAGGGATGAGTTAAATAAACTACAGCATATCCATACAATCAAACCCTGCACAGACTTTAAAAGGGAGAGTAAGGCAGTTCTGTATGTATCGGCAGGGGAAAAATTGCAAGAGACAGTAAGTGAAAAAAGAAAAATGCAAAAAAGGTATGTTCACTGTGCTACTATTTATATAAAAGAAGTTTACACACACACACATCTGAGGACTATATTAAAAATGTGCTAATTGTAAAAGTTGGGGGGCTGGGGGTCAGGGGTGAAAGAGACTTATTTTTTCCCTGCATACTTTGTACTGTATTATCTATTCAAATAAATTTGAACAGTCTAAAAACTGAAATAGGAGAAATGCAAGCAAATACACAGTGACCAATCACGTATCCAGAAATTAGTTCCTTAGCTTTCCAAAAATAAAAAGAACATACTTCAAAAGCATTAATTTCGTCAAGTACCATGAACAACTATTAGCTGAGACCCAATTTTGGAAGTCAAGAAGACAAATACTCTTCTTTGCATTAATGCTCCCAAAGTACACTGAGGTCTCCAGCATCCCTTCTGTTAGCCCCATCTAAGAGATGACACCAGGCAGCTGGTGAGAAGTAGTACTGCCTCTGATATAAAATAGCTAACTAATGGGGACCTACTGTATAGCACAGGAAACTCTCTATTCAACATTCTATAATGACCAATATGGGAAAAGAATCCAAAAACAGAGTGGATATAGATAACTGATAACTGATAGATATAAATAGATATTTGATAACTCATTCACTTTGCTTGCTGTACAACAGAAACTAACATACTGTTCACCAACTATATTCCAATTAAAATTAATTAAAAGAAAAGAAATAGTGCCTCTGATCCTGGACCCTCCTGAAATTACGTGATTTTCTAGTTTTCTTAACTATTTGCCCTGCCCTGTTATTTTTTTTTTTAAATAAACTATTCCAGGATGACAGACATATAATTATGTACTGGAAATGAAACACAATATGAATTTAATTTATACAAATTCAATGGGAAATACACGCATTTAATAAAACTCTCTCCTTGGTAAGTAGATTACGTCTGTGGACAGATGGCCAGTGACAGCAAGGCTACATACGCTGTAACTGGGCAGCTCTCAGTTGCTTCTTCAGCCTCTCCACTTCATTCTTTAAAAACCTGATGTGTCGCATCATGTTTTCTGGAGAGTCGATCTCCATGGAGATGTCTCTAGGCGATGGGGGAGCAGACACCGGCTGGTCTAATTTCTCCTGCAGGATTCTTCATTGAAAAGAAAAATCCAACAATGAAAAACAGTTTGTCTTTAAAAGATAAAACACTGATTTGATGCTCACCATAATCTATTTTAAAAATACACAAACAAATTCTTAGTAATTGAAAAATAAAGACAAAACAACACATTCTAGTTGGGAGGTTTGTTTTAATAGCATGCTCGTATTAATCACCAAAATTCACTAAATTGTTTAACTTCTCTGCCCATTTTCCAGCAATTTTCAATCGCCCTTACTTGACAGCCAAGTCAAAGGACAAAGCAGAAGAATCCACCTTCCCTTTCTTCCTGTTAAATGGCCACTGGTAATTAAGCTTTACATAAAAAATCTCTAACACTGGCTTCTGATTACCATGCCGGGCATACCCTGGGCAGTCAGGATGATTTGCTGACTAAATGGTCCACATGTTGGGCTTGAGGGAATGAGACCCTGGAGGAGGTTCCCCTCAGTGCTTTTAGTTGAAACTTAAGAACTATAGATCATGAATCTCTTTGGAGGGTTGTGTCAAACAGAGACACACTTCTCAACTCCCCTCCTGAAAAACCAATCCTGAGATTTCCCTGGTGCCACTGCACTCCTAATGCAGGGGGCCCAGGTCCAATCCCTGGTCAGGGAACTAGATCCCACATGCAAATAAAGATCCTGCTTGCTGCCACTAAGACTTGGTACAGTCAAATAAATTAAAAAATAAATATTTTGAAAAAGAAAAAACACTTTTGAGGGCAAGGCTAACTGGATGGAAGGCCCTTTGCTTCTGGCCACAGCAAAAGTAAAAAGAGTTAAAGACAAGACAAAAAATGTACTGGGTTAATAAGTGGTGGTGCCACCTTCTCTACCAATTATTTTTAGTCTGAAGTATGTAAAGCTCTAATATTTGACAAAATGACAATTTCATAAAGTTCCATGCAATAATCTGGTGTTTATATATATAAAACCTTCCACTGCTTTCTTCAAAGAAAGATTGACTGGCAATAGACTTCTCTGCCTCCTTTTTATAAACTGCTGGGGAGTTTTTGGTTTAGATTGGTTTTTACCTTTGAGTTTATCCCTTGCTGAGAAAACTAGTTGGTTAAATATTGTAATGGTCTCTCCATCTATTAGATGAAATAACTTTTCATGATTCAATTTGTTAGTACTACTATAATAAGGCAAAACATAACTGATATAACTACTGCTTGAATAATTCCATATAGGTACACCTTGGATCTGCATTTTTTTTAAAGCCTGTGGAAGATGCCCTGGAGAAGGGCATGGCAACTCACTCTAGTATTCTTGCCTAGAGAATTGGATGAACAGAGGAGCCTGGCAGGCTACAGTCCATGGGCCGCAAAGAGTCAGACACAACTGAGCGACTAACATACAACCCACACATGAATCTGTTTCACAGATCTTGAGATGAATTCAATCTATGGTTATTCATCCGAATGAAATATTTACGGCAAATATTTCTGATCAGTAAACAAAAGTACTGGGTGAAGTAGGTGAATGAATATTTTCAACAAGTTTCCTTTCTATACTCAAACATACATTGCATCTACAGAACTTCCCTGCCATTAGCCCTGTTCCACCCACCCCAAAGAAGACAGTGCTTAAATCTAAGGGCCCCACCAGACCTTTTTTTGGTGGGGGATTGTGTGGCACAACATGTAGGCTCTTAGTTCCCCAACCAGGGATTGAACCCATGCATGCTGCATTGAGAGCTCAGAGTCTTAACCACTGGTCCACCAGGGAAGCACTCCCACCCCAGTTCTTGCACAAAGAGATTCAAGATTACATGTGAGGCTGAGTTTTTCATATCCATGTACATACATTTAACAGTAAAAACACTAGCCTTAAATATATACAAGTAAGTCTATTAAAAAACAAAGTTTTATACACTTTATCTATAGTAAGTCTTAAAACACAAAGATGATCACTTGCTATTAAAATCTCAGGCTTCCTAATGAAGTACGCTCTAGAGATATGTGATCAGTCATGGTACACAGCACACATCCTAAGCACTTCAGAAAATAACTAGGGAAGACAGTTCAATAAGGTAAAAAGTTGCAACTGCAGTCATCCTTCAGAACAATTCGGGGTGGACAATAGCTCCTTAACTAATTTCTTCATAGCCTCCAACATCAAATGAAAAGAAATTCTACCAGGACAGTAAGAGGGGAGTATAAAGATGGACCAACAGGAGGATGGTTCAGTTTTGTTGCTCAGTCATGTCCACTCTTTGTGACCCCATGGACTGTGGCACGCCAGGCTTCCCTGCCCATCACCAACTCTCAGTGCTTGTTCAAACTCATGTCCATCGAATTGGTGATGCCATCCAACAATCTCATCCTCTGTCACCCCCTTCTCCACCTGCCTTCAATCTTGCCCAGCATCAGGGTCTTTTCCAATCAGTCGGTTCTTCCCATCAGGTGGCCAAAGTACTGAAGTTTCAGCTTCAGCATCAGTCCTTTCAATGAATATTCAGGAATGACTTCCTTTACAACTGACTGGATTGATCTCCTTGCAGTCCAAGGGACTCTCAAGGATCTTCTCTAACACCACAGTTCAAAAGCATCAATTCTTTGGCCCTCAGTTTTCTTTATATTCCAACTCTCACATCCATCCATGACCACTGGAAAAACCATAGGTTTGACTAGACGGACCTTTGTTGGCAAAGTAACGTCTCTGCTTTTTAATATGCTGTCTAGGTTGGTCATAGCCTTTCTTCCAATTCCAAGGAGTAAGTGTCTTTTTAATTCCATGGCTGCAGTCACCATCTGCAGTGACTTTGGAGTCCCCAAAAATAAAGATTCTCACTGTTTCCATTGTTCCCCCATCTATTTGCCATGAAGTGGGTCCCATGAAGATGGGACCAGATGCCATGATCTTAGTTTTTTTATTACATTTATTAGTTGGAGGCTAATTACTTTACAATATTGTAGTGGTTTTTGTCATACATTGACATGAATCAGCCATGGATTTACATGTGTTCCCCATCCCGATCCCCCCTCCAACCTCCCTCTCCACCCGATCCCTCTGGGTCTTCCCAGTGCACCAGGTCCGAGCACTTGTCTCATGCATCCAACCTGGGCTGGTGAATGATCTTAGTTTTTTGAATGTTGACTTTTAAGCCAACTTTTCCACTCTCCTCTTTCACTTTCAATAAGAGGCTCTTTAGTTGTTCTTCAATTTCTGCCATAAGTGTAGTGTCATCTGTGTATCTGAGGTTATAGATATTTCTCCCAGCAATCTTGATTTGAGCTTGTGCTTCATCCAGCCTGGCATTTCGCATGATGTACTCTGCCTAGAAGTTAAATAAGCAGGGTGACAATATACAGCCTTGACATATTCCTTTCCCAATTTGGAACCAGTCTCTTGCCCCACGTCCAGTTCTAACTGCCGCCTCTTGACCTGCATACAGATTTCTCAGGAGGCAGATCAGGTGGTCTTGTACTCCCATCTCTTTAAGAATTTTCCAGTTTGCTGTGATCCACACAGTCAAAGGCTTTGACATAGTCAATAAAGCAGAAGTAGATGTTTTTCTGGAACTCTCTTGCTTTCTAATTTGATCTCTGGTTCCTCTGCCTTTTCCAAATCCAGCTTGAACATCTGGAAGTTCATGGTTCACATACTGTTGAAGCCTCACTTGGAGAATTTTGAGCATTATTTTGCGTGTGAGATGAATGCAACTGCACGGCAGTTTGAACATTCTTTGGCCTTGCCTTTCTCTGGGATTGGAATGAAAACTGACCTTTTCCAGTCCTGTGGCCACTGCTGAGTTTTCCAAATTTGCTGGCATATTGAGTGCAGCACTTTCACAGCATCATCTTTCAGGATTTGAAAGAGCTCAGTGGGAATTCCATTACCTCCAGTAGCTTTGTTCGTAGTGATGTTTCCTAAGGCCCACTTGACTTCACATTCTAGGATGTCTGGCTCAAGGTGAGTGATCACACCATCGTGGTTATCTGGGTCATGAAGATCTTCTTTGTACAGTTCTTCTGTGTATTGTTGCCACCTCTTCTTAATATCTTCTGCTTCTGTTAGGTTCATACCATTTCTATCTTTTATTGTGCCCATCTTTGCATGAAATGTTCCCTTGGTGTCTCTAATTTTCTTGAAGAGATCTCTAGTCTTTCCCATTCTATTGTTTTCCTCTATTTCTTTGCATTGATCACTGAGGAAGGCTTTCTTATCTCTCCTTGCTATTCTTTGGAACTCCGCATTCTGATAGTATATCTTTCCTTTTCTCCTTTGCCTTTCACTTCTCTTCTTTTCTCAGCTATTTGTAAGGCCTCCTCAGACAACCATTTTGCCTTTTTGCATTCCTTTTTCTTAGGGATGGTCTTGATCCCTGCCTCCTGTACAATGTCACAAACCTCAGTCTATAGTTCTTCAGGCACTCTGTCTATCAGATCTAATCCCTTAAATCTATTTGTCACTTCTACTGTATAATTGTAAGGGATTTTATTTAGGTCATACCTGAATGGTCTAGTGGTTTCCCCTACTTTCAGGAGGATAGGCTATCAACATTTTCCCCATTTGTCAAATTAAAACAGCGTGCATCCACCAAGGCATTAAAATGTCCCACTGTTGCTCCCTGGTCACATTCAGCACGGTCCCCCAACCCCACTCCCAACATACACACATTTACATCCACTACCCTGAACAGCAAGACTCAACAAACCGCTTTTCAGCTTCAAGTTTATCCATCCTCTTCCAGAGACGGTTCACTAGTGCTTCCTGTTCTTGTTCCAAAGTATTCTCAAGGTCAATCTTCTCCCGTCTCAACTGAAGGAAAAGAAAGAAGTTTCACTGAGAATTGTAGGCCACTTAAACTTTGTTCATTAGATTTTTTGATTGGAACACTATGATCCCTTTCCATGGAGAAAACTGCAAAGAAATGGTCAATTTTCTGGCACAGATACATTAAGTGCATTTCATTCTTAAACTTTAATTGAAAAAACTGAGATATGTTCATTCTTTGATGTTAAAGCTTAATTGCTCCCTAGTAGATGGATCACAGTGGTTGCTTCAGCAGTTACTCCAGGCACATGGAAAGTCTTCCTTAAAGAGGGTTTGAGGAGATTTTGTTGCCAGTTGTCCCAGGACATAAGTGGGTTTGTCTCCCTAGTCCTGCATGCATCTCAACATTAAACCAGAAAGGTTACACTTCCATTTACGGAAATAACTCCCAACACTGAAGACAATTCTACCAAGTGGTTAATGGGCACATAGAAATATGGCCTAAGATATAAAAACATGTGTGAAAAGGATAAACACCACATTCACAATACTGGTTACTTCTGGGGAGGTGGGGCAGAAGGTAAATGTGATTCAGGGGAAGGCCAATGATTGCAGAGGGAACCCCACATTGCATTCTACTTCATAAAAAGAAGCAATTGGGGAAGCAATTAATTTAATCTATTAACATAGAAAGTGAAAGTGTTAAGTCGCTCAGTCCTGTCTGACTCTTTGCGACACCATGGACTGTAGCCTGCCAGTCTGTCCATGGGACTCTCCAGGCAAGAATATTGGAATGGGTTGCCATTCCCTTCTCCAGGGGATCTTCCCGACCTAGGGATTGAACCCGGGTCTCCCGCATTGCAGGCGGATTCTATACTGTTTGAGCCAACACAGAGCAACATGCAAAGACTGAGACCAACACCAGACATAGGTTAATAGGGATGTAGCAGAGAACTGAGGAATCAGAAAGGTCTGCCCTCTGGAGACCTCGTTCAGGTTTTTCCATTACAGCTTGTGGGAAACCCAAATGAACTTATTGGCCAGCCCAATACATTCTAGTAGTGGTGAAGACATTAAAAGAAACCATTTGTATGTTTTAGTAGAGAGAGAGAGAGATGAAGAAAAAGAGGGCTGGTGATGGGGACAGAAAGCGCCATGATAAACAGAGTTCACAGCACCAGGAAGAAGGAAATGTATAGTATCATTTTTTGTATACTTGTCTATTTTCTTGGGATATTAACTAATTTTAACAGAAATCACTTTTTAAAAGGTGGGGAATATTATGTTACTGTCCCCATGCTGTCTCTTCACCCAACTGGAATTTATCTTTTTAACCACTGACTTAACAGATTATTTTTGATTGCACAGCTACACAGCTGTCCAAGTATTAATATCAGAGTTCACACTTCTTTAGCAGGTGAGAGGCAAGCTCCTCACTGAGCAAAGACCCCTATGTAGACATAAGGTGAGACCAATTCCATGGACAAAATGTAGCCTTTTACAGCTACCAAGGCAGACATACCTTACTTCACCAGTCAATAAGCCAAGATCACAGAGTCAACAGAAAACATAGCCTCACTGAATTTTCTTTGCATGGGCAAAGGGACAGGAATCAGACTATGCTGGAAGAGTCCTGTGCAGTGAAGCCAGGAGCTGGCTAATGCACAAAAGCTCAAAATGTTAAACAGCTCCTTTCCCTGCAAGGAAGAGAAACCCAGGAACACCTCACAGAACTCCTATGAATCTTTGTGACCCTCTGACCACATTTTGGGCCAAGGTTTGAAGCAATGATACAATTCACAGTTGTTTATTTAAAGAAACAAAATGCCAAGTCATTTACCCTTTAAGGACCCTATTGCCATGTTTAACTAAAACATGAGAAGGGGTACTTGGTAGAGAAGAAAAAATTCAAGCAAGGCATCGTTTTGTAGTAGAGATGACTAGCAGAGAAAATAATGCCCAACGGCTTATTTTTAGAGTAATCATGCACCATGCAAATATATAACTCCAAAAAACAAAATCAAGACAAAGCTGTCTTTACCCACATATGACTGACTCGGCATGTGGTTTTGAGGAGGTACTAACCTGTCCTCAGGCTTCCCAGGTGGTGCTAGTGGTAAAGAACCCACCTGCCAATGCAGGAGACATAAGAGAGCCAGGTTTGATCCCTGGTTGGGGAAGATCCCCTGGAAGAGAGCATGGCAACCCACTCCAAGTATTCTTGCCTGGAGAATCCCATAGACAGAGGAGCCTGGAGGGCTATGGTCTATGGGATCACAGAGTTGGACACGACTGAAGCAACTTAGAATGTATGCATGCAACCTGCCCTCATCTATGAAATGAGAAAGCTGGCCTTGAAGACATCTGAGGTCCCTTCCAGGGCCACCCATCCTATCATTCTCTGTCAATCTCAAGATGGCACTTGTCTCAGTCTGCACTAGTTCAGTTGAGATTATTAGAAACAGAAGCAGCAAAAGAAATCATCTAAATCCACTCTTTCATTTGAGAGCTGAGGACCACTGATTCAGGAAAAGTGATGCTGCCAGCATAGGAATGGGGATCAGCCACCATGGTGACCAAAGAAGCTGGGTCCCATCTAACCAGCAAGTTCAGAGCATCTGGAGGGGCAAATAGGATTTGGGGTAAATTATCCAGTGTATTCTGGGAAGTAGTGGAGCAGGGGGTACCTTAGTGAGTCCAAGAGTATGCAGGAACAGATAAGGAAGCAGGAAAAACAGAAGTTGAAACATGAATCTCACCTTCTTTTTGGTACCAGTTAGTAGAGCTATGTGTGACTGTGTGTGTGTGTGTGTGTGTGTGTGTGTGTTAAGTCACTTCAGTTGTGTCCAACTCTTTGCAACCCTATGGACTATAGCCTGCCAGGCTCCTCTGTCCATGGGATTCTCCAGGCAAGAATACTGGAGTGGGCTGCTATGTCCTCCTCCAGGGGATCTTCCCGACCCAGAGACTGAATCCATGTCTCTTATATCTCCTCATTGGCAGGCAGGTTCCTTATCACTAGTGCCACCTGAGAAGCCTGATAGTAGAAACCCAAGTTTCACCCTCTGGAGGCCTTGGTTCACTGAAGTGGGCAGTAAATTGATAGCTGGTAGTCACCTGAAGAACTTCAGAACTTCCTGAAGTCCTTTATCAGCAGTGCCCTTCCGTCTCCTGTCCATATAATCCCACAGCCTATTTATTTATAACCAAAGAGTATAAACCAGTACTGCTGTTTCAGACCTAAGCAGATTTTCAGTGCTTGCATTGCCCTGATATCAAACAACCCTCAAATCTGACAGTGTGTGTTAAACTGACAGGGTACTGAGTCAGAAATTCTTGCTGGAATAGAAACAACAGCTCAGTGCCGCATTCACTGCTTTTGCAATGCTGATCCCATCTGTAATAGTCTTCCCTATCTCCTTTTAAATTCAGTGTTCCTGCCACAGGTACCCACATCAAACATCATTTCCATTACCAAACATCAAATTCTCAGGCAAACCCAAGCCCCTGCTGACTACACTGTCTATCAGCACTCAGCACCAGTGGATACAGCCGATTTGTAGAATATTCATTTGAAGAGTTGCTTTGTCATTAAGTCAGGTCAATGGACTGTCAGCCGAACTCCTTACCCGTCTTCAGTAGCTCTTCCTCCCGTTGCAAGTTAATTAACATTGCACCAAGAGTTCTTATTAAGTTTCCCAAATAAATAACTTCTTTAATGGATAAACTTAGTGTATAAAAGTAGAGCTGGCTCATTTGAATTCACAGCCCATTCTGGCTGTGTCTTCTCAGTGGGCAGACACTCACTACCCAAAGAGCAGAGAAAGCAGGGGACAGCCAAGAGACAGCTCCAACATCACCACACTTCTCTCTCAATGGAGCATTTTCCCACTTACAGGGAACCAGGATGCTCACAGAGGTCAGGGAAAGGAATACTTGGCAAAAAAGCCTGATGAGAACTTTAGCACGACCATGTGCTCAACTACAGAATTTTGAAAGGTTTTAGTGTATCATTTCAATCTACTTTGAAAAGTTTTAGTCTGACCACCAAATTACCATCATTCCTATATGAAAATATATTTTGAACTCCAAACATTTGTCTTAAAAACCCAATTTTGGAAGGCAGCCCATGACAGCTCTTCCCAGAACAGGCAGCCAATGACAACTGCCTGTTCTATGTGCACCAGAAATATACAGAGAAGGGAATTCCCTTGTGGTCCGGTGGTTAGGACTCCACTATGCTGCTGAGGGCCCAGGTATGGTCCCTGGTCAGGGGATCCTACATGCTGTGCAGTATGGCCAAAAAAATCAAGAACAGAAAAAATATACATACTGATAAAAAGACACACAAAAAAATCATAAAGAATAGCAAGATAAATAGGGTTGGCCCTTGGGTCAAAGTATTAAAAATACTGGTGGTAATTTATCTTCATATGTTTTCCGGCTCCCACACAATTTTTAAAAATATTTATGTATTTTGGCTGTTTTGGGCTTCCGAGTTGCAACTCACAGGCTTGGCTGCCTTATGGCACGTTCTTAGTTCCCCACCCAGGGATCGAATCTGCATCCCCTGTGTTGGCAGATAGACTCTTAACCACTGGAGCACCAGGGAAGTCCGCCCCACAAAATTTTTTAATGAACATTTACTATGTTTATAACAAAAAAACGGGAAGACAGTCAATCTTAAAAATTAACAATTTCCTGACTTTGGATATTAATTCACATACCTAAAACAGAATGAATTCATACACTCTAAGAGGAGAAATTATACTGAATGCTCAGCTAGTTATCTGGAAGACAGAATCTTCCAGAGAGCCTTGAGTTATTAACCTTCTTTACCTATAGCTTGTAAGTTTTCTCTTCTCAAAAACGGTATCTATACTCTTTGAAATGGGTAGAACTTCAGGACAATAGTAATACCTTATTAATATTTAATATGTGAAAAGTGACACTTTCATAGTTTACCAGCTCAATAAATCTTGCTTTTGTTCAATGATATTGAAAAATGAAGGTCTTTTATGAAACAGATGCACATATAATTAGTC